CTACCACAAAATCATAAAGTCTTAAAGTGTTTGATGCTGTTAGTGACTCCCGGTAAGAATCCATTGCATCCTCTCTTTGTACCAAGAAGCAGACTGTAACCGAATCTGTACTGATGAGTTCGCTTTTTCAGTCTCTGTCCTTTCACTCTATGTTAGACATCAGAAAGTTATCTCCATTTGCGGAATTGTGCATTTCTTCACAATTTGAGGGTTTACATGTGGAAGTCTATTTAGATTTGGTCCGAGTGGCCTGAGTCTGGAAGAGTGTACTGTGTCCTGAACCATGGCACAAAGGTTGACATTTAAAACTTTATTTTTTGGGGATTAGGAAAATATTGACTTACTTTCCTTTGGGGGGCTAATATAAAGCTTACTGTTTCAATAAATGTATTTCAATGAAAGAGAGATTTGATTTGAAGAAAAATATGAAGTATATGATAGTGCAGAAGTTGTGGCAGAAATCTTGAAGATTGTACCATGAGTAAGTCGAGTTTGGGAGACACTTAAGAACAGAAAAAGGCTCAGTAGTTGGAAGACTTGGATTTGAATCCTGATTCTACCGCTAGATGTAGATAGCTGATCCTAAGCTCCGAGCCAGTTTCTTCATGTACGAAGTTGAAATGATAGTATTTTCCTTGTCTATTTGATGCGTTTTGGTTAAGAAACGGGTAGAATATATATTGAAAGTGTTTTCTTAAAGGCTGCAGAGTCATCTTGGAGTGAAACAACCACCAAAACCCTAATAATATGAGCAGCAAGTTATTTCAAGAGAGCTCAGGAATCAGTGAATGAGAACTTTCAAAGGCAAACCTTTTTTTTTTCCCCCTGCATGGTGAAAACTGAGTAGGTTCCAAATTTAGGCTGACGGTTTTCCTGTCACTACTTAGGAAGAGAAGACTGAAACATATGCTCGCTTCTCTCCAGATTATGTAAATGCTTTTGCCTTTTACTTAACGCTGCTACAGAACTTATAGAAGGACGCAGTGGGACCTTGCTATTATTTGGGTGTTTATGAACTACTGATTATTATTATTTTTAAAAATAAATTTATTTATTTTTGGCTGCATTGGGTCTTTGTTGCTGTGCATGGGCTTTCTCTAGTTGCGGCGAGCGGGGCCTACTCTTCGTTGCGGTGCGCGTGCTTCTCATCGCGGTGGCTTCTCTTGTTGCGGAGCACGGGCTCTAGGCACGTGGGCTCAGTAGTTGTGGCTCGCGGGCTCTAGAGCGCAGGCTCAGTAGCTGTGGCTCGTGGGCTTAGTTGTTCCGTGGCATGTGGGATCTTCCCGCACCAGGGCTCGAACCCGTGCCTCCTGTATTGCCAGGCGGATTCTTAACCACTGTGCCACCAGGGAAGTCCTAAACTACTGATTATTATAACACAGTTGTCTTGCGTTAGGAAAAAGCACCTTTTCAGGCCAATCAGTGCACGAACTGGCAGGAGGGCAGTGCCCAAATCTGAGAGAAAGACCCTTTTTGTGTGTGATGGAAGTTTTATTTCGGGTAACCCTGTAAGTCTGCTAATCAAATCATAAATCCGAATAGGAAAGTTAGATAAGGGTTATGTTCTAGACCGCCGGGCAGAGCTGCCATTAAGTCATGGTAATTCTAAAAGTCAAAGGTTTTCCTTGTCTCTGATGCCAGCAGAGTTACAGCTGAATCCTACTGACAGCTCGAATTGTGCTTTTAATTCCGGGGAGAGGGCTGGAGAAACAAATGGGGATTGGAGGCAGCTGGGGGATGGGAGGGGGCCCTTAATCCTTCTCTTTTTCTTTTTTGTAAAAATGAAGCCTGATTCACGGGCCTAGATCTTCTTCTAGGGGAAGATTTGTGGGACCCAGAATAGCCACCCCAGCTTCTTCTGCAGTTGAGCTACCCCTGACAAAGGAGCAGGAGTGAAGACGGAGAATGCTTAGTTGAATCAGTTTTCTATGAAAAATGAAACCTCGTTTTCTGTAACATGAATATGTGGCCTTTGAAACACAGGGAGAGCTGGAAGTTTCATTTTTAGAAGGCATATACTGTACATTTCAACAAGTGATTCATTTTGACGTATCCTTTAGCATAGTAATTTGACAACTAGGTTAGAAAGCTGAAGGAGGATTTTCTTTTTCAAAGTTACTTGGAGCAGGTGCCTGTGAAATTATTGTGCAGAGATTAACAGATGCTAATTCAACAGGTTAAACAATGAAATTGGAGGACTGTTTTTGCAATCTGTATTGGGAAGATAGTTGGCACCGAAAGCAAAACTTTGAAATTCAGTTTCTAAGGCTTGCCTTTTTTTTTTTTTTTTTAATCGGGGTAGTTGTTTTACAGCGTTGTTAGTTTCTACTGTACAGCAAAGTGAAGTAGAGTTCCCTGTGCTATACAGCAGGTTCTCATTAGTTATCTGTTTTATACGTAGTAGTGTATATATGTCAGTCCCAATCTCGCAGGCTTGCCTTCTTAGATGGGGCTTTATTCACTTAACTTCTCTGAGAAATTGATCACAGACTCTAAGTGTTAGGGCTCAAGCTTCAGTCACAGTGTCCTTTCACTTGGGTCCACGAAACATGGTAGATATGGGACAAGGGGGTCAAATGTTCCTATCAGAAAAATCTCTGAGTTCACAAAATAGAGGAGTTTTTTTTCTTTTATTTCAACTTGTTTTGCACGGGTATCCGTAGACGTGATAGGGATGATCTGCTTCATTTGATCTCATGGGTCAATAAATCCAAATTTAAGACTTGAAATGAAATATATCTTTGTTAGGATCTTTTTCCCCCAGATTTATTGAGATATTGAAAAATAAAAGTATATATTTAGAACGTACAGCGATTTAATATACGTATACCTTGGGAAATGATTACCACAATCGGAATTAATTAACACATCTGTCACCTCACATGGTTACCTTTTTTGTGTGTGTGAGAATGCTTAAGATATACTCTCTTAGCAAATTTCAAGTATGTAATACAGTATTGTTAGCCATAGTCACCGTGCTGTACATTAGATCCTGAGAACTCACTCAACTTATAACTGAAAGTTTGTACCCTTTGACCAACATCTCCCCGTTTTCCCTCACCCCGCTGCCCTTGGCAACCACCATTCTACTTTTTTTTAGATTCTACGTATAAGTGATACCATACTGTATTTGTCTTTGTCTGGCTTATTTCACTTAGCATAATGCCTTCAAGATTTATTCATGTTGTCGCAAGCAGTGGAATTCCTTCTTCTCTATGACTGAACAGTATTTCATTGTATATATGTACACGTCACGTTTTAAAAATCCATTCCTCTCTTGATGGATACCTAGGCTGTTTCCGTGTTTTGGCTGTGGTAAATAATGCTGCAGTGAACATGGGAGTGCAGATATCTCTTGGAGATAATGATTTCTTTTCCTTCAGGTATGTACCCAGAAGTGGGATTGCTGGATCATATGGTAGTTCTAGTTTTAACTTCTTGAGGCACCTCTATACTGTTTTTGTCAGGATCTTTTAGACTTGTTGAACACTGATTCTCATTCGTTAGAGTGGTTTACTCTCACTAACTAATCTTACAGAGGAAACTCGGTGACGCCCTTCAGATGTGGAACTGCGATATAGCTGTGACCATGTATAAAAACGGTTCTCAAAGGATGGTTTGGATACAGTATACTGGAGACTGCCTCAAATACTATGTACACAAATACAAATATAACCCCTATTCCATTATGCTGTTAAGTTTTAATATATCTTAAATTCAAGTTTTCTTTATACAGTTTTCATTATAGAATTATTAAGAAAAATAATTTAAGTAAAACATTATTACTAGAAATCAATAATATACTAGAAATCAATAATGCCTGGGTTTACAGTAGTGTGTTGAGACATGGCTCTGGTAGAATCTGAATATCTCCAAGTTCATTCAACACTAATGACTGGTTGTCTACTGAGTGCCAGGTACTGTTCTGGGTGCTAGGGTTATAGTGGTGAACAGATGAAGGGAAATCCCTGCCCTTAAACAGGCCGAGCCGTAAAATAGACAGTGTATCAGATCAGGGTAAATTCAGTGAAGGAACAGATGATAGGAAGGTAGGTGATGGGATCCTATTCCAAGTTCAGTACCTTGAACTTTAGTATCTTGCTGTATTTCTCAGGGCAGGAAAGGCTATATGAGGTGGAAAGAACAGAGCTTTGGAGTCACAGAATCAGGTTTGAATTCCAGCTCTGAAGGTGGGCAAGTTACGTAACCTGTTCTGAGTCCAGGATTTCTTCATCCGTAAAATGGGAACAAAGATTTAATCTATTTCATAGGGTTATTATGAGTCTTATGTGAAAAAATGTAGAGAAAGCACTTGGCACGGTGCCTGGTATCTAGAAAAGGCTCAGTAAATGCTGTTATCACTCTTATTAAATCAGTCACATCCTGGATTTCTCAGGGTCACTAACCCTGCTCCTTGTAACCTTGGCCTCGGGCTGTGGCCCTACTATCAATGGCCGGGTCACCTGGAAGTCCCACAGGGATCCCCTGACTTTGCCACCTGGAACCTCATCCTTTCATGCCCTGCCCATTGGATCAAGCATCTCCAGTACCCATGCCTGCCCCAGCTATTTGGAAACTTGAGATATCCTTTGGACAGCGTGCCTGGTACCAAGTAGGCACAGGAATGTTGCTACTTTTCTCCCCTTTAGTTACCCAGTGAATAGTGCATATTCAGTAAATATCAACTGACAGGCTTCCATATATGCCACTTTTTGTTTTGCCTTAAATTCAATAAATTGTTGGGAGGCACACGGATAAGCAGAGTACAGGGCTGTCTCTCCTGAACTCTTGTGTTTAGCAGAGAGATCTGTGTTTGTATGTATGTATTTGGTGTGCGGGTCTAATTATGGAGAATATTTCCCTCATAAAAGTGTCTCCTTTAATTGCTGAGTCTCAATAATCCCTTCTTTGGTGAAATAATGTATCTTTGACACATGACGAGGAGGAACTACTCCCTCGTGAGTTTGACAGTATTAACTTTCTTTTCGTCTCTCATTAAGGAAAAGACCAAAGTTGTTGAGCCCTTGGACTATGAGAATGTTATCGCCCAAAGAAAAACCCAGATTTACAGCGACCCCCTCCGAGATCTGCTTATGTTTCCAATGGAAGATATATCTGTGAGTTCACAAGCACTTCTTTAAAGAACAAAACTGCATTTTTCAAGGCCGTTCGTAGAGCGAGGATGTTCTTTGTCTTCTAGATCTCGGTGATAAGTCGTCAACGCAGAACGGTGCAGTCCACTGTACCAGAAGATGGTGAGAAGAGGGCCCAGAGTTTGTTTGTCAAAGAGGTAAGAGGCTCAAAGGCCACAGAAGAAGATTCATCATTCATTCATTTTAAATATACTGTATTTAAAATACTCTTTCCTGGGGATATCTGTATGTGTATGGCTGATTCATTTTGTTGTGCAGTGGAGGCTAACACAACATGGTAAAGCAACCGTACTCCAATAAAATTAATTTAAAAATTAAAGTAAATAAAATACTCTTTCTTTAGTGTAAATGGAAAATAAAATTACTAGAACTTAACTGACCTACATAACAAGTCTATATGATGTGATATAGAGGATACAATTTAAACACTTTCACAAGTAGCTTGTATTCGTAGTCTTTTTTTTTTTTTAGAAGGCAAAGGACATTGTTTACTTTTATTTATTGATTTATTTATGTGGCTGCGCCGGGTCTTAGTTGCTGGCATGCAGGATCTTTCTTGCGGCATGCGGGATCTGTGGTTGCAGCATGCGCGCTCTTAGTTGCGTCATGCACGTGGGATCTAGTTCCCTGACCAGGGATCGAACCCAGGCCCCCTGCATTGGGAGCGCGAAGTCTTAAGCACTGGACCACCAGGGAAGTCCTCTTAGTCTTTTTTTTTTTATTTGAATACTCTTTGGACTTGGAGTCAGAGTGTCCAAGAGAACATGTGAATTGGTATTTATTGCCACCAACTGGTTTAGGAAGACACGGTTAATCCCCAAGGGAAGAGCCCAGTACCAACATTCCCCAAATGATTTGTAAAAGTCTGTCAGCCTATTACCGGACATAAAAAAAAGCAGATATACATGTACTTTTCCTACATTTCAAATTAAAGATTCTTATTTTCTTTCAGTGTATTAAAACTTATAGCACAGATTGGCATGTGGTAAACTACAAGTATGAAGACTTCTCTGGGGACTTTCGAATGTTGCCATGGTAAGTTTAGAATTTAAGGGAAACTTTCAAGAGGAGAGTTATTAAACATTTTACCTTTTTTCAAACCATTTGTGAAGCTTCTCAATTATAATATATAATAAAGCAAAACCTCAAAACACCCAGCATGTTTGGTAAATGTATTTTGGGTAATTGGATATATTTTAGCTTTGCTCATTGAAATTTTTTCCAAGATGGACGAGTTCACTTTTTGGCTTTGGTACATCTATATTGACCATAAAATCATCTTTCTTTGATTCTGGATAATGTAGTGAGCATTTTCTAGTGCTGTCAGTGAAGAAGCTAGAAGACATTTGGCTCAGGTTGATGGCCCCAGACATCTCTCGACAAAAGTACATCTCTTTGAGTTGCGTTGAAGGGCAGCCGTGAGCGCCCCGGCCCAAGATCCAGACTGTCAGGGTTCAAATCTTATTTCTACCACTTCCTAGCTGGATGACCTTGGGCTAGTCACTCAGTCACTTGAACCCTCACTTTTCTCCCCTTTCTCATCCGTAATACTATTAACCTCACAGGATATCGTACGGGAGATGTTTTGGAGAAATAAGACTTGGTGTAGCCTTTTGTAGTTTTCAAGGCACTTTCCCAGACGAGAAAACTGAGTCTTGAAGATGTCCTGTAAAGCTGATGCTCAGTCCAGGGTCATACAGCAAACAGACGGAAGAGCCAGAATGACCTGATGTTGCTTTTAGGCCTGGGAAAGATAAGGTCCCACCACCAGTGACAGCTCTGGCACACATTCCTTGCGATTTCTGCCGTTTGGGCTTAGTTACGTCTTTGCTGCTGGCTGCACGTGTGGGAGTCCTTTTACAAAAGGTAATGCAAGTTCAGTCATAGGGGAGAATCTGACTTCGGAAAGGAGAAAACAATTTCTCCTTCTTATGTCTTGGCGTTTCCGTGGTTGTGAAAGAGAGAAGTCTACTCATCTTGCTTTTTTTTTTTTTTTTTTTTTTGTCCTGCTTAGTGTCTAAGACAACTCTCTTGTATTTTCAGCAAATCTCTGCGACCGGAAAAGATTCCCAATCATGTATTTGAGATTGATGAGGACTGTGAGAAGGATGAGGTAAAGATGGGGGCAACTGCGCTGGTTTCTTCAAGATCACTTCTGCTGAGAGATTTCCCTGAGAAGAGATGAGGGAAAGAATCGTTTTTGAATGATCCGGGGCCAGCTTTCAAGCTGACGAGTGTCTTAAAAAAATTTTTTTTTTTTAGGGGGCTTCCCTGGTGGCGCAGTGGTTGAGAGTCTGCCTGCCGATGCAGGGGACGCGGGTTCATGCCCCGGTCCGCAGGGGACGCGGTTTCATGCTCCCGCCCGGGAAGATCCCACATGCCGCGGAGCGGCTGGGCCCATGAGCCATGGCCGCTGAGCCTGCGCGTCCGGAGCCTGTGCTCCGCAACGGGAGAGGCCACAGCAGTGAGAGGCCCGCGTACCGCAAAAAAAAAAAAAAAAAATTTTTTTTAATTGTTGCATTTCCAAATGGAGCTTAGGAAAAATCAAGTGAAATGGGCTGTGATGTGTGTATAAAACATGTTTTCCCACCTGTGGGACGCGCTTGTAGAGTTGCTTTTCCCGCACTGGGCATGTGGCATGGTGATTCATCTGGACTGTCCTGCCTGATAGATCCCTCTTGGGACAGATGGCCTGGATGTCTGTGACATTTTGAGGTGCAGTTTGACTGTTTATGTAATGCAGAAAACTTTCCCAGAAGACAGTCCATACGATCCAGTAAATACCGAGTGCCTACTGTGTGCACGGCACAGAGCCTTTCATCCTGTAGTTAACAATTTCAAGTTTCATCAGGCATCTTCACGGTGGGGGGGGGGGGGGGGGTAGGGGGAACTTTATGCTTTGGAAAGTGAGGCAGGGCCTAGTTCATGCCCCCCAACTGTTTGATTAGATGCCAAGCCAGCTGCTGTTTTTACTGATGGTTTTCGTTCTATTTCAGGATTCCTCATCTTTATGTTCTCAGAAGGGCGGTGTGATAAAACAAGGCTGGTTGCATAAAGCCAATGTAAATAGCACCATCACGGTTACCATGAAGGTAAGAAGTAGTTATTATATTATTTCATCATTTTAAGGATATTGCCGTGACTAGCCTGTCTGGAAACAGTATTTCTTTTTCAAACTTCCTTACAAGGAGCCCTAGCAAAAAAAAAAAAAAAATCTTTAGTGAGAGGATTCTCACAAATGTATGGAATTTAAGAACTCTGACCCTCAGGATGAGTTTAGAAGTACACCTTTTTAAAGAAATGTAATTATTACCTTCTGAATCAGGATGTTTAAAAAGGAGGCTGTCAGTTGAATGAAGAAAATAGCTTTGAAACAAAAAAGGCATCAAAGGTTCCTGTGTGAAAATGAATGTAAATGAGTAGACAAATAGGGTACTCTCTTTCTTTAGCAGATATTAATTAGGTGCTTATTATACGCTGTTCACTGTGGGGAACATATGGCTCGCTAAGATGGGATCCCTGGCCTCCAAAAGCCTCCAGACTAGATAAGAAACATACCAAATTAACTACTATACCAAGCGGTACCTTAGTGCTGTCAGAACTAGAGACTTCTGTTGTCTGGCCAGAATAGCGAGTTTGTGTACGGGGTTTGTGCGTGGCCTTGAGTGCCTCGGACATGAGGTTGGCTTTTGTTCGGGAGGCTGTGGAGAGCCATTAAAATCCGAAGGTAAAACTAACAAGCTACTTGAAGATACTGAGCAGAAAACCGAATTATTCTCTGATACCAAATATAACTGTCCTTCCAGATATTCAATAGAACATCATGTGGTTTGCCAAGGATGATTCACACTTCCATTAAGTATTAAAGGTCATTCTATCTTTCGCACAGCCTGCAAGCAGAAACCATGGTTGTCTACCAAAGGGAGACTCAAATTTTATCTTAATTTAATATTTTGCCTGCTGCTTTCCATTTAGTGGTCATGTCCTGTTCTCACTTGCATTTTCAAGCCCTGAAAATAATGAATCCAAGTGGTAGGATGCTTCCTATGTGTCTCTTGCACCTAAGCCTGGGCCTTGGCACGTGGTGAGGATAAGAAAATCCACTTACTGATGACTTAATATGTGCCAGGCACCATGCTGAATGTTTCATATTCTGTATCTCTTTTAATCCTCATGGCAGCCCTAAGACACAGGTATTATTACTATTCTTGGTTGACAAATGTGGAAAGTGAGGCACAAAGAAATTCAGTGATTAACCCAAGGTCGTATAGCTTCGAGTTTTCAGAGGTGGGATTTGAACCGGGGGAGGAAGGCTGATGCCTGAGCCTCTGATCTTAATCAGCACACTGTTGATGCTTCCTAGCTGAGTGAGTGAGACTCAGGCGTTTATCGTATTACCTATCAGAGTTATCGGGTTCCGAAGTGCATGTGTGAAGGTGAAAATTCTGGGCAGTTTGTTAGAAAATGCTTCTGTGGTTTTTGACTGCACTCCCTTCCCCTAACCTTCTCAAAATATTAAAATGCTTTACCCGTACTTAAGTTTTAGTTCAACATTAAGTAAATATAATGTACGGAAATCTGGATTTCTAAAACAAGACATTAGGAAGTTAATATCTTTACAAAACAATTCACAGGATTCCTTTCAATAGTGAGTTATTCTAATGACTTTAAATTATAATTTGCTTTACATATAACTTTTTTAGGAGTTCATATATTGTAAATCAAAATACAGTTGTCTAAAAAGTGCATGCTTTAAATTTTCTTTCATAATTTGTGAACTACAGATTGGTTAATATAGTAGGCAGAATAAAGACCCCCATGCAAAGGTGTCCATTCCTAATCCCTGGAATCTGTAAATGTTCCCTTACATGGCAAAGGGGAGTTAAAATCACTAATCAGCTGGTAGGGAAGTTAGCCTGGATTATCCAATGTAATCATCATGGTCCTTTTTTTTTTTTTTTTTTTTTTTTTTTTTCTGCGGTACGCGGGTCTCTCACTGTTGCGGCCTCTCCCGCTGCGGAGCACAGGCTCCGGACGCGCAGGCTCAGCGGCCATGGCTCACGGGCCCAGCCGCTCCGCGGCATGTGGGATCTTCCCGGACCGGGGCACGAACCCGTGTCCCCTGCGTCGGCAGGCGGACTCTTAACCACTGCGCCACCAGGGAAGCCCATCATGGTCCTTTTAAACTGGAAGACGGAAGCAGAAGAGGAGAGTTGGGGAAGGAGATGTGAGGGCGGAAGCAGGGTCAGAGAGAGATGCTGTGTTACTGGCTTTGAAGCTGGAGAAAGGGCCAAGAAATGGAAGCTGGAAAAGGCAAGGAAGTGGATTCTCCCCTAGAGCCTCCGGGAGGGAGCACAGCTCTGCTCTAACCTTGATTTTAGCCCAGTGAGATCCATGTCAGACTTCTAACCTCCGGAACTGTAAGCTAATACATTTATGTTGTTTTCAGCCTCTAAGTTTGTGGTAATTTGTTACAACAGAAATAGAAAAGCAATTCAATCAGTTAGTCAAAGATTGATTGTTTAGCTTTTGTATTGTCTACCCCTGAGATTGCAAACTCCACTGCTTACAAAGGCCAGGCAGGAACCATAAATTCATGAAGCAGGGCTGGGGTGGGGTGGGGTGGGGTGGGGTGGGGGTGGGGTGGGGGTGGGGTGGGGGGGGGGGGTGTCCGAGGCAACCTGGTGACCATGTGGCCCGGCTGAAGGGGACAGCTGCTGCTTGTTTCCAGCTAATTGTTGCTCTGCTGCTGCTGAGCTAGGCTCTTTGCTTTTCCTCTTTTCTATCCCCAGCTGTTCATATTTTGGCCGCTTCTTTCTTCTTCTTTTTTTTAAGTGACATATAATTCACATAACATAAAAACACTTATTTCTTTTGAAACCTCTACCAAACAGTAGGCAGAGGAAGGAGAAGAAGGGTAAGCCAATTTGGTCGTCTGTGCTACACAGTTCTTTAAAAAAAAATGTGTGAGGAATAATTAGAAATATAAAGGCCGTTAATGAGCTTTGGGAATTGTCTCTGGTTATGGATCTCATTTATCCCAGCTATTCTTTATTATGGATTGTGGCTCTCCATTTTGGATTTCTGGGAGCTGGAAATACACCCCGTGTTCTTCTGGTTTCACCTCCAGAAGGTCCAGCCAGATTCAGTTAAAGGCGTCAGGGATTTTGCCAAGATATTTTTTTTCCTATAAGAACTATGTTTGAACTCTTACTTAGTTTAGCATCGTTGAAATTCGCGGAAACTTGCAGTGTTTACTGTGCCCTCTCTCCCTATGTAAACAGAGGGCGTGTGAGTATGGAGCAGGGCAGGGGGAGGATTGGGCATGGGTGGCAGTTTCGTCGTTGTCAGGCTGGAGGTTGGAGCGAGGGCCAAAGCAGAAATCCAGACCCATGAACTGAGGTGCACTGGAGGCCTCAGGCTTGTATCCCTGGGTGCCCGGTGCAGGATGGGGGATCGTACACATTCTTCCTGCTTCAGGCCTGGATTGGCTCAGGCATAGACAGAAGAACTGCAGTAAAGGGCTGCAAAGTTCAGGAGACATTCTGAAAGGAAAAATTCTGCATATCTGTTTCTGCCATGTTCATCTTTGAAGTGAAGCGTATTAATGCCTCTCCTAAGCAAATGGGAAGATGATTCACGTATGCTGTTGGCTGAGTCACTTTCCTGATCGTGGTGGCAGTTTTACCTTTGGTGTATCCAGAGTCCCCTGCCTGCAAGGAACTCCAGCCCACACTGATGACAAGCTTTGCTGGCTTCAGCGATGAGCGCCACAGGGCTAGAGCTCGCAGAGTTGAGAGCAAAGAACCGTTTCTATTAGGAAATTCAAGTGTTGACAGCCCCTGCAAATACACAGCAGACTAACCGGGAAGCTACAGCAGAAGGATCTGGGTATTAATCGTGACTCATTGGCAAGTAACAGCCTACGGGAGCCATGCGTCTTCCCTCCTATTTTATCTGCACTTCTTGGATGCGCTGTGGTTTGACACCGGCCTGCAGATCCTTCTGGGGATGACAGGATTAGAGCAGGGCAGCTCGGTGTCTTTTAGAGTGAGGTGTAAGCTTACAGATCTTTATTCACTTAAAAATTTCTGGATATTAAAAACTATGTAGAATCAGTCCTTTGGAAAGTTTGAAGTCATGCATGACCACTTTACACTGTTTTTTATCAACAAGTCCGAGTCCTTTTCCTGGCCCTTTTGACTCTCAGAAATAAGGCAATCTAATAGGCAGGAAGGAAGAGAGAGAATCATGAGAGGTTAGAAAGAAAAAAAATGGAGGAAAGAGGGTTAGAAAAGACTCTACAACGTCCAGTAGATAAAAGGAAATCAGAAGACTCCTACTTTATAAGTTCTTTTGAGAAAGCAACCACATGACCTGTGATGCGATGTGAATAATGTAGCCAAAGTAATTTGTATATGGGCCGCTCTAGAAAGTTCAGCCTCCCTAACTAGCTGCCAGACAGTTTTGCAGGAACATTCAAGTCGATGGTGACGGGCTCTAGGGAAGAGGGGCCGGTGAAGAAACTAAGCTGAGTTCTTCATGTTGGAAGATTGGAAGACCCCGTATTTATGGAATAAACCTTTGTATTTTCCCCAGTATACACCTTTCCACAAGCTAGGTCAGTTTAGATATAGTCTGCACCATTTTCTGCAGTTGTCATTATTTTCCCAGAAGTGCTTGCTGAGCTTCCCCATTATTGGCTGAGAACTAGCCGTGAGGAACCCAGGCTACAGGAGAGCTGCTAATGATGTGTGTCACTCTCCAAGTCACAGTTCTCAGTGCCCGAGCATGTCCTTTCACGGAGGCGGCTGTTGGCCACACGCAGGTCTCGCAGAAGCTCTGTTGGTTGTCTGGGCACAGTGACCACCTTGCTCAGCTCATAATTGCTTTGTTCTCGGTGTTCATGTTAAAACAAGACAGGCCTTGTCTTAGGTGATTAATTTCCCCAATTTGTACCTTCTAGATAATGAGAACACGCCCCACTGCCACTCTTCAGCTCCTGGGAAAGTTTTGGAGAGAAGTTTTAGGTAGCATAGAGAATAAACGATCTCTCAGGCAGAAACTCCAGTCCTAACAGAGACCTCCATGC